CCCCTGCACAATCAAACCAAGTCCAGGAATTAAAGAAACAGGAAGTCACAGCTTAAAAAAAAGGTAAAATATTTTTTCCAACATATCCCATGGTTTAAAGCTATAGAGATGCCAGACAAAGTGTTCATTTGCACAAAGATTTATCCACCTGTAAGGTTTAGAAAGTACTGTTGCACAGCAAGACAGTTGGCTAAGAGAAGCTAATTATATGCTCCCATTTATCCTTATGAAGACAGACCCATCTGAGGCTAAAGCTTACCATGTGCCTGCAGTACCCACACGATCGCCTACAAACCTCTACAACATCAAGTTTACTGAAGGCCAGTAGAACCACTTTCATTGGGATCGGCTGACAATTAAAATGTTCTGTGCCCTATATCTAAAACATGAATTAACGCCATATGTGTCCTATCATTCTCTTCTCTCTATTATTAAATTACCCAACATGTAATTTTAATTAAGGCAACAGATCTGATTATTTCACCCTTAGTCCAGAAACATATCTTAAACTCACCCTTTTACCACTGTCAGTCTTTTAATATCTGTAGATCATGTTAATATATTTGGCTCAAAATACTTTGTATAGCTCATGCAGCTGGAGGATCCAAGGTAAAGAAGTTTTCTCTACTGTTGCTGGAGGTTTAAAACAGCCATATTAATAATAAAAAAAGGTAGTGACATTATCCTAGATTTACACCATTTGTGGCCCCGGTCCTTTCTGGTCCCCTCTGCACTTTGAGCCCATTAACGTCTGTCTGAATTTACATTAGATTTACTAGGATCTTGTCTGCTGTTTAGCCCAGAGGTGCTCCCACAGGAATGTGCAGATCTCACAATAAAAGTCAGCGATAACAGGGAAATGAATGAAAGAGGGCCATGAAAAAAAGCAGGTAAAATTGCTTTGCTTGGTGTCTTTGGATCAAAATAAAGTTATCAGTTTTATTCTACACCGGGTATGTATATGTTGGTGATTTTATTGTACATATTGTGCATGAGCATAAATTATAATCTTACATAGTATAGATGTGCAAAAATAATATGCATATGATTACTGGAAATAACAATAATCTACTGCTTGTCTTGTGCCTATAGGTCTATGTGTGAATGGTAGGGTAAACCCTGGAGGGGTCACCTGTCAATTTCAGGGCATCACAGAGACATAAGACCAGGCAGAAACAACCTAACTGGGCAGTAGACCTGACTAACCAGGGCACACGTAAGAAGGAGGGGCCCATCAAAACCTTACTTTTTTATTTAGAATGATTTGTAGTTGTTCAAATACATTTTTTATTTATTTAAAATATATATTTAGTATCAACTGAGAAAACAATCTTTGTCACAGTCCACCCAACCCCTTCTGGAAGCCCCTGCTTGGAAGCTCATAATGTTTTGTCCTTCCAACAACAACTGGTCACAAGTGCAACTTCAGTGAGCCCAGATTGAATGATCTGGATGATAGACATCATGCTACCAAAAAGCATAAATCAGGGCATCAAAGGAAGAAGAAAAAAAAGGAAAGCAGAAAGAGGGAAGGCAGCTGTTGATTGCGTTCTTTCCCAAAGATGAACTGAGTTTGCTTTTAATACAAAGTCCAATTAAAGTTGACTCCAGAGAGCTGCGCTGTCATGTTTTCACCTGAAGTAGCTATTTAGCTTAGCTAGTTGTCAACCAGGCTGTTTGCTGCTGTAAACATAAAGACATTATGGACCGTCTAACCTTAGATGCTTCCATTAACCATTAATGGTTCTACTGGAGGTTTCTTCCTATTAAAAGGTAAAAACGTTTTTCCTCACCACTGTCGCTACAAGCATGCTTAATGTGAGGGATTGCATTTGAGTCAATGCAATCAACTGGTTTTCCTTAGATAGAAAACTTTGAATCAATTAGACTGTATGATCTGGTTGAACTGTAAAGCGCCTTGAGATGACATGTGTTTTGAATTGGTGCTATAAAAATAAACTGAAATGAATTGAATTAACCAGTATCAGAAACTGGATCAGCCACAGCAGCTGGTGCAGTAGTGATCAGTCCTGGTGGCTCTTCTGAAGATGAGCAAACACAAGGTGAGATCTTAAGTATTCAAGGAGGAGCAAGTGCCCTCTTGTGGATGCTTACTGTTATGGCTGCTGGTTGATACCCTTCTACTCTGCCCAAAGCAAAACAAAAATGAACTCAATCCCAATCTGTCAACCTTATGAGGACATATGTGGCCATATGGTTCATTACTTTTAGCAGGCTTTACAAATACAAAGTGAACTTGCTCTAAAAAGTGGGGTTATTTGCATGACTAATACCAATTTTCTGTTGTAGCAGATGTAGTAAGATCTGCATTAGAATGCTGAAGTCAATGAAGGGTGTGAGTCTGAGGATGCAAAACAGGGTGAGCTCATAGAGGCAACATGAAGTTATTTGCAGCAATCATGTGGACACTATATAGTAGTTTGAACTGAAACAAGCAGCAGCTGGTATTATCTTCAACTAGGGTGTATCTAGGGATGGCTATCAGGTATTTAAGCACAAGACGGCCGGATGCATCAATTCAGCTGTTGAATGAAGGAACCATTCAGCAATAAAATCTTTTAGCTTAAAACCCCATGCTTCATGCACTGGCAAATATAGAGCTCCACTGGCTAGCCTGGTGTACAGGGCCCACAATTTGGTGCTACGCCACTGTTTGGAATATTATTCAGCAAAACCCTTAGCTCCATATTGCTCCATGAAAGGTGATGGGTTGAAAACAGAAAACAAATTTAACTGGACTGTACAACTACAATGATAATAAAGATTTAGTCACAATTAACTAAGAGATGTATAAATTACACACAGTTGGAAAAGGTAACAACAACTTTAAATCTGCTTAGTCAAGAGTGCTCCTGTTTTAGCTCTCTTCTCCTGTAGAAGTGGCTAATGCCAACTATGATAAAGTTTTAGGTTTCACCCATAAATCCTTATACTGTAACTAAACCAACTACTTTGACCCTGAATGCTTCCAGCTAGGCCAGCCTCCCTGTTATTAAAAGAAAAAAAAAAAAAAAACACCACATAGCCTAATCAGTGCTGTTGTAATCACAGCATGCTCCCTGACAGGACCACAAATCCGATTACAATGCTCTGCGCATTCCACCTCTGCATTACAGAAAATCCTCTTCCTCATTCCAAGAATAAAAGCAAAGTAAAGGAAAACCCCAAATCCACAGAAAGGTGCAGAACATTAACAACCAAATTCATAAACCTGTGTGCAACTCGACGCAGAGCTCAAAAACCACACAAATATTTGGGAACCTCATCAGTTCTTGACAGGAGTGAGAAACTGATGAGGTTGTGGGATTATCCTAAAGAGCTGGAGCGGACTACATCAGCACCTACCTAGTGCTTTTGTCCGATTTCTGGACTCTCTTTTTTCATTTCATGCCTGAAACTATCAATATTAATATCTGACTGTAATATTAAAGATACAACGTAACATGTCTGACAGCAAGTTCAACAGGCCTGAGTTAAAACAGAGGTACTTATAATGCTATTGAAACTAACCAATCACTTAGCTTGTATAACTGTTGTGTATTTATAATAGTTTTTTAATCTCTTTAATCAAAAATTGAATTTAAGCTGTGATTCCCTCAATAGGAGTGCGGCAGAGACAGTCAACGGTGCGGCTGGTTAAACCTGTAATGCCAAATGTATCATATTTGATACATACGGTTTCTAAAATGTTTTGCTTCTGACACCTTTTGCATAATTTAATGGTAAAAACTTTGCTCAAAATCCTATTCTACACAATCAGATATACCTGATAACAGAGGGCAGAAGACTACACAAAAAATAATCTTGACTTATCGCATGGTAAAATTATTAATATCAAAAATGTATTTCTGTTTTTTTTCCTTTTTACATATTTTGTTAAAAGGCCAAATAAGGACTTCAAACCAAAAAAAAGTAATTTTCTGTTTTGTTTTATTCTTGGGTCGGGCTTTAAAGGGTTAATCGTGGAAAGTTTTATGTCTACATTTACCAGTTCAGGTAGCTCTCTGTAGCCACGCATAAAATGCAACACAAAGATAACAGCTAGAACATTCAAGAAAGACGAGAGCTTGTAGAAAACTAGAGAAAACCTGCAGCGGCAACAAGGTTGCTCAAAATAAGAGCTAGCATGTTTGTCTCTGGAAAGAAGCGAGCATCAAATGTGATGAAATGTCTTCTGATTCTGTCTTCAGAGCCATAAAATAAATATTTTTAACTGGAGGAAGTTTACTGCGGGTAAAAGCACTGATCAGGCAAAGTCATAAAAAAAAATCTATCAGATGTTCTTTACAAACGCATGTTGGCAGAAATAATTTAATATCTACTCTTATAAAATGAGACATTATACTAAAACTGAAGGACAAATGATGTCCTCTCAGTGCTGTTCGACCAGGTTAGTAAAATTACTTTTTTTCTTCTTTTCTTTAAGGCAAGTAAAATCATTTTACTTTTACTTCTGTTGCACCTCAGAGACACACACTCACTTCTATCTAAAGTACATTTATTTATTTTTTTTGGTTGAGTGGCTTACTAATTATACAACTAAAGGATTTTCAGAGAAAATAAGTCTCCTCTAGCCTATTGTTGAGGTTTTAAAAACTAAACTGGTTAGCTTTAGTAACTGCAGGAGCAGCGGTGAAGGAACAGTTGATTTTCACTAAATCAGCATTGAAGCCCTTGGTAAACTGAAAGCTGAGGGTAGGTTTGAACTGGGCCGTCATATGAACAATGGCCTCAATAAAGCAGCAAATCCATAATAGCAAGTTAAGAAAATAACTTCTTTATAAAAACAAAGAGAGATTGCTTTTCATGAGTACATCAGCAATACGGAGGGAAGACATAGGCAGGTACAATGTGGACAAACGGTGATGTCATGTGAAATGAGCAGACATACATGGAGGTAGAGCGTGATGACAGGGGTGGGGGGGTCTGACGGGGGAGGCTGGTGGTGTGCTGATCTGGGTCCACACACAGCGACTCACTTGGCCAGCTTCATCTCTATCTGCTGGCGGATTTCCTGTCGTTCTTGGTCGCTGCGCACTGGGAAGATATTGCGGTCCTCCAGCTCCTGTTTGCTGGGCCTGTTCCGAAGCTTCACGGCCAGGAGCTCTTTCCTCATCCTACGGGGGAGCGTTCCTGTAGGAGATGAAAACAAACCTGAGTAAGGGCCTGGTGGTTTTCAGGCTGCCGTTACAGGGATGGTCTGAGGAAAGAATCCTTTGCCATCTTAGCTGGAAGCTTTGAATATAAAGAAAAACTGAACATTTGTAAAGCTTAAATGTCAAACAGTATATAAATGAAGTGGGACTCACTCTGTACCCTTCCTACAATATAACCAAGCTCTTCCAAACAGTGCAAAATAAAAAAGCAAAGCAGGTATAAAAATACAGAGGTGTGTGGGATTAAATGTCTACTAAGAAAAACACAGATCTGATGGAGCAGGTATGTTTATCCAAGACAGTCAATGCTGGTCTAAAATTCACATCTTCATAGCATATTAGCTCCATTAGGTTTTATATTTGGTCACTGTAACATTGTTTGTGAAATCATTGTCATCATGATATCATGTCACTGATCCTTGAAGAAGGTAATTGAATAAAACATAACAGGACATTAATTGTGTATAAATGGCATATAACAGTCTTTTTTTTATTATTATGATTTTTTTTAATTCATGGGCTGTAAAGTAATCATCTAAAATGTTTAAAAAAGATTCAAAAATGTTTACAGTATACAGATAAAAATACAATGGGCAAGAAATAATAAAAAAAGACACTGAACTAAAGAAGCCTCCTAAAGTTCACTGTGAGCTAAGATTTTAAGAGTTAAAATACAGATACAGTGAAAAAGGAGCTGCTTCCCAAGTCCTGAACCACCACACTCAGGACAGACTCATCCAGTTTATTATACAGCATTATAATATTTCAGCCACTGGATGTCACTAAAACCTCAGCCAATACTAGAGCTCTCTGAGAATACCCAATAATCAGGCAGAAGAAATTAGACTTCTGGGGTCACTTTAGACAACAGACTGGAGGGGTCTAAGCATGGTAAAGGTACTGTTACTGTGAGGGAAGATATTTAGCAGCTATAAAATGATGTGTAAAATGAATTCCTTAAATGATTAACACTGTTGTATTATCCCACCTTCAGTATTGCCCTATGGTTGGATCCAGTGCTTCAGAAAAACTCCTAAACAGACTAGATGTAGGTCAAAATAAGGCAGCTGGTTTGGCTTTGAACTGCTCCAGATATACAAATAACCTCAGCACGTAAAATGCTGTAAAATACAACATTGACATTCCTCTTCTTTGCTTTTTAGAGTGTAGTGTCAGATGTTCTATAAACTAAACTTTTTCTTAGCTGCATTTTACAAGGTTTTACTACAAGACTTATATATATATATATATATATATATATATATATATATATATATATATATATATATATATATATATATATATATACATATATATATATATATTTTTTTTTTTTTTTTTTTTTTTTTTTTATTCAGCCTTTTATAGTCATTACACTGTCACATGTACAGAGCAACAAAGTGGACTCTCTGCATTTAACCCATCCCTTTGGGGAGAAATGGGCTGCCATTGTGCGGCTCCTGGGAAGCAGTGTGGGGTTAAGGGTCTTGCTCAGGGACCCAGAGTGGCAGTCTGTGTGAGTGGTGCTTGAACTCAGAACCTCAGGATTGCAAGTGCAATGCCCTGACCACAGGGCTGCCACTCCCCTGTGTTGTGCTGTATTTAAAAATTTTTTACAACATGCTTACAGTGAAGCATGGTGGTGGCAGCATCATGCTATGGGGATGTTTTTCAACAGCATGAACTGTTAGTCCTAGCATAGGTGGGAAGATTAGCACAGCAATGTACAGAGACATCCTGGATGAAAGCCTGCTTCCGAGCCTTGCTGACTTCACACTGGTGCAACAACCCACAGTACACAGCCAATATCTTATAGTGGATTCAGACACCACCCTGTAAATGTTCTGGAGACTTCAATCTGATTAAACAAATCTGAAAATTGCAGCACAAATGTCTCCAATCGAACCTGACCCAGCTTAAGCACCACAAACAAGAATGGGCTGAACTGCGCAAAGCTTGAGGGATCATTCAAATAAACTTGAGGCTGGAATTGTGTATCAACAAAGTATTAAGCCAGAAAGAAACATACTTTATTAAATCTGATTGCTTATTACTTTGTTTTAACACATTTGAAACAGCTGACTAACAGAGAATAGTCCAAATGCTTTTCACATCAGTGTGTTTGATGTTGTTCCCAGACTTGGTTTGGAAAATAGTTGTAGGTTTTTTTAACCAGTAAAGCCTTAAAAGGAAAATGCTTCAGGTAAATCATAAAAAAACCTGAGACTGATATGAAGTTCATCATTCTGATGATTTTCTATAGAATTGGTGCAATAAGACGAATGTTTGAATTGATTTTAAGAACTGTTTACTGGCAAATAAAAATATACAAAGGGTGTTCTGTCTCAGGTAATTCAATGGAGCTAAATTAGCCTATTTGAATGTTTAGTTCATGCAAAGTTCAGAACAGATAACTGACCTTTTATTAACCAATGGAGAAAAAAAATGTGGAAGAGATTATATATAAAGCATTTTTAGACCAAATGTTTAAATTCTAGAATGATTTATCAAAGATTGGCATCATTGGATTTTTTAGCAACTAGATGTTTTAGATCCCGTCAGCCAAGTGCTGGAAACGTATGTTTGTTACATCTGTCCGATGTTGCAGCCCACCAGGCTAACAGTTTTAGACCCAGCCCCAGTTAGACGTCCAGGAATTAGGCCACCAGAGCAGATGCTGTTTGGCAGCTGGAAGTCTGCTGCTCGACATTGCTTCTAATCTGTCACCCAGTTGGAGCAGCCATCAGCAGAGATTATGTTGCTCATCGCCATGGTGCGTAGATTCAGGAAGAAGAAAAAAGTAAACACACATTAGTTTGTAGCCCAGCATCCCTACCGGAGATCACAGAGTCGTTCCAGCTGTCCTGGTCGCTCATGTACTGATCCAGGCGACAGTTCTCCTTGTTTTCATCAGACGTCTTCTTGCTGTCTGATTCCCCAAGCGATTCCCTCTCTGTGCTGGATGTCCGCGACAGCCGTCCGTCCAGCCTGCGCTTAGGAGAACAGCGAGCTTCCTTCGTCTGGAAACTGGGATCACATGTCACAAGACTGGTTTACAATGATAAATACAACTAAATTTGTATTCATACCATCATTAAATGAGATTATTCCCTTCCTTTAAGTCAGTGTTAAAAACCAAACCTTTGACTGTTAAAGTTAAACTGTTAACTGATGTATTATTAGTTTAAGGTTGTGGTCCAACTGTTTTATTTCCTTTACTACCTGCTTTCATCATGTTTTTATCTTTACTTTCTTTCATTCTAAATTTGTTTTTGTTTTTTTATTGTTTAATTCATGTAAAGAACTTTGAATTGGCCTTGTACTTACTTTTGCTTTATAAAATTAACTTTTTTTGCCTAAAATCTTATACAATTATAAACAATCATTTAATAATGTTAAATGATGTAACTGACCTCTCCTGCCTATGTTTGGTGGCCAGGGCGCGGTGGAGTTCCTCAATTATGCAGCTAGGGGGCAGTGGTTGGTGAAGGGACCCAAGGTGTGGAGACCCAGTGGGTGTAGAGATCCTGGCTCTAAGCAGGGATCCGTGAGATTCTTTGGGGAGTGTAAAGTTCCTGGGTAAAGTAGCTGGAGACTTTTTCACTGGTACAGGAGGAGCACCTGAAGAAGCAAACAGTCAGACTGTGGACAGGCTGCATGTCTGTGGTCGCTGCTTTGTCAGGGTTTACTCACCATCTAAGCTGCCCAGCCTAGTGAGCAGTTTGACAGGAAGACTTTGTGGTGGAGGGGTGCTGGCTCGTCTCTGAGGCTTGGCTGCCACCGCTTCCTCTTTCCCCTTGGCGGTCTCGCTGCTTTCCATCGCCTGCTCCTCACTGGGGTCACTGACTGACGTGCTCTCATCTTCTCCATCTCCATCCTTGCTTTGATTGCTTTCTCCAGCTGCCTTCAGATCCTCAGACAAATCTTGAACTGAAAAGAAGCAAATATAAGAACAGGGTTTGGTTTGATACAACATTTTCTTTCGCCATCTACATCTAACTTTAATTTTTCACTTAAAGGTATAGAGGACGATCTTTTATTTCCAGGCGGATCATCTAAATAAGCGGTCCTCCTAATTGTCAATCATTCTGGTGATACATTTACATAAGGCCGTCCCATATTCGTCTCCTGTTAGCTATCTTTTTCTGCACACTTTCTGGCGTATATGTGTGGTAAGCTAGTCTCAGACAATCACCGCGGTTCTTGAGAAATGGCCGAGGGTTGTAAGTGAAGAAGTGTCTACGAAGTGAATAAGAAAAAAAGAAAGACTTCTGAAGAGGCAGATATTTCCCATAATGCTTTGCGAGGAGAGCTCTCCTCGTAAAGCATTATGGGATTTGCTGTCATAGCGGCCCGCTGTCACCATAGGTTGTTGCTACCCGACAGTTGACTAATAACAAAGATGCCACAGGCACAGCGCAGTGCAGGCGGAGTTATGTGACCAACAGAACAAAAAGCAGTGATCATCTGTCCGAACAGTCAGTTAACTGAGTTTGCTATAAAGTCCACTATATAGTCCCTGCTCTATATAGTGATTGAGGCATTTAGGGGTTAGGGCGGACGTTTGGGGAGAGTAAGCTTGTATGAGCTATGAGAACAGCAACTGTTAAAATGGGCTCCTGAATGCTCTCGCACGCGTTTAATAGGTGTTACCTCTTGGGAGCGAGTACAGGGTTGTGCATGTATATTTTTTTCTTAAGTGGATCTAGTAGGTCTTTTCAAAAATTTGCGAAAATCCTCCACAAAACCTTTAAAAGGTTATGGCTTCAGCTTTTTTTTAATCAAAATGATTAATAAAAAAAATACATCCAAGTTTCAGGTGGTGCAGAATAAAATTATTATCTAACTAAGGAAAAGAGATATAGTAGATAATTAGTTATCTCATACATTTCTGGGAAGAGGATGCAAACACATGAAAGGATTCCATACTAATAGGAGTAGTAGAATGAAGTAACGTTAGGCAGAGCTCAGGCATTACCAGATCCTAGTAGCTCCTTGATAGAGCTGAGAAACGGCTGAGAAACGGCTGAGAAACGGCCGACTTAAAGAAGCAAAGGGGCTCAGAAGGCAAATAGAGGTTGCTGCCTTTCTTCTTAACTGGTAAATAAAACTTTTAGCTTGGTTAGCAATAGCCGACATGGCAACCAGCTGGCAAACGGTACAGAAGGAAAGCGCCCGAGAGGAAAACACATTCTATCTTAATTTTAAAAAGAATTTGTTTACAACCACTTAGATCAAGTTACTATTAACAAGGTATCCAAGATTTCCACTTTCACTCCAGAGTCAGGATGTTAAGCTTCTGTTGGAAGTTTTAAACAAGGCTTCACTTGTTTCTCTGTTAGCGCTGAACATAAACTACTCAAAGAGCTTCTAATGGGAAAAGAAGACTTGTTAAAGTTAGAAACTCTAAGAAGAAACTCAGTAACAAACTCCAGTCCATGGAGGACGGTGCCTGTCCTTAATAGCTCTAATTCTTTTGACAATATTAGGGCAGAAAAAAATGATCAGATTCATCGTAATTAATCAATTATTGAAATAATCTTCAACTAATTTAGTAATCGATCATTTCATGCGTGTCTGGATCCTCTTAGACCAAAATCAAAATGAAATCATCCGTTCTTAGCCTTGTGTCTGAGAGGACTGTGCTGGATTCTACCTGCTGAGGCTTCCATATCGCTTCCCAGGTCCTCACAAGCACTGGCTAGGGGTGCCACCTGCTCCTCGTCTCTGTCTTCACTGTCTGACTGAAGCGGCGTGTCTGGATCCTCTCCGTTTCCCCCACAAGCGAGATCCAACTCTGCATAAAGTGGACAGAAAGAACAGGGGTGAGTTTGGAGCAATTGCACTTCATGTGGCTGAAGCATTTGTGTCCATGCTTTGGGGGGGAGGAGGTGATTGTGTTAGTCTCTAGTTCTGCACCTGTTTCCATCTCCCCGGGGCTTCGCCTGACGTGCTCATCTCTCTTGTGCCGTACAGCTGCCTTCTTCTCTGCTGCTGAACAACACCAACATTCATGAATCAGTCCTACAGCACCCCTGGTAAACTAGAGCTATAAGTAAACACAAGCTCCCTTCTTACCGTTCCCTAAAGCATAAGGAGGAAACACGAGACTCCCTCAACACTCACCTCCAGGGGGCTTTGGCTTTTCGCCTTTCTTTTTCCTCCACTTCCATGGCTTGAAGATGCGTCCTAGGCTCGCCAGCTTGCTGTTGCGTCGGACGGGAGGCGTACGGACTCCTGAGACCAAGCAACTCGAGTGTGGTGCCCTCTGCTGGTCCATTACATCTATGACACAAAACAGCTATTTTGAAGCAGAGCATAGACAAAACAATGGACAATTTCTGATGCAATAAAAGCCTTCACCACTCCTTCTATCTCCCCTTAAACAACCTGTAGGGTACTACAACCACTATGCCATCATGTGAGAGAGGGAAATGTGGGTCAGTGGCTGTACATGCCTTATCCAGGCTAATTTCTGAGAAGACAGAATCTCATTGTTTGTGTGTGACTCACATGGTTTCGGGGCAAAGACTCCTGGGCCATACAACTACTCACAATGGGATGCTTTGGAAAATGACACAGGGAATAAATAAAATCAGCACCATTGCCTTTTCTCTGGGTCAGCGCAGACATCCGCAGCTTGCAGCTCTGGGAAGTGTGTATGGTGATAAAATACGAGGGAGTCGGTTTGATATTGAGCAACTATGACTAAACCTCGGATATATTGAGCCATTTATCAATAAAACAAAAGCTCTTTCTTAAAGTGTTATGTTTTCAACGTATCTTAGTGTGGATTCTGTTAGCTTCATGGTTGAAGATTTAAAGTATCTTCCTTAAAGGCATCACAAGATGTAATTAACTGAAACCTGCACATGTGTTTTCTAAAAGGTAATGGAGCTACGCCCACATAAAGACCAGAGGAGGCGTATTTGCAAAGGTGATGTATCCAGAGTTTGGGAGACCAGAAGTGGAGAGATTTCAACACTTTCCAACTTGCCATGGGTACATGCAAATCATCTTTTCTTAAACTGTGTAAGACCAATTTATGCTTCTGACGCATAGCCTCTGCAACCGTCAAATCTATCTCTGTGAGCGACCACACCCCCCGTGCAGAGGCGCGCACCTCAAAAAACTCCTGACTACTCGTTGGATGGTCGCAAACCTGCACAGACCTTAAGCGGAAATGCGCAAACAAAAAGCAGCTGCGATTGGTCCTTGGTATGCCTTTCCGGCTGTCTGTGTGGTCTTCCTTCTCGATTCGGCGCCATGGCGCACCATTTTTAAAAACCCAGGAACAATGGAGAACTACGACGAAGGGTTAATTGAGGAGGTTTGGAAGTACAACCACAACTTATATAAATAAATATAGTACAACCATAAATTATGTAAATAAATATACCATCTTCAATGTCTAGCAACTCTAGATCCATCTCCGTGACCGTGATATCTTGCAGACGCGCCATTGTTGCTTTGCTGAAGTTCTCGTGACCATCCGCCGAAGTTCTTGCGAGATCTCAAATAGGCTCCCCCTCGCGCTTTAGCGGGAAACTGCTGTGCGTCCCAAGAAATTCCAGACCAACGGTGTAGGAGGATACCAGCAAAACTGGTTCGCGACCAGACCCAGGCGACATTTGATGTGTGCGGTTGCAATTGTATAATCTGCCCTTTAGCATCACCTGCATGCACCTCTTTGCTGCCATGTTGCTATTTGTAATTTCTTTTCAAAATTTCACTATACCTTTAAGCTATATTTTAGCTATATTGTGGTGTAAATATTTAATTTTACTTCTATTCTCTTAGGTGACTTTAACCACATTGACAGAAATGTTTATATAAATATATGCACTATTCCTGTTATAAATGAACAAAAAAGAGGTGCGACTTGAATCATTTAAGGACTGACATGAAGTCGATAAACAAAATTTGTCACTATGGCCAAGATTTAAACCTGATAATGCTCTGACCATCCCTTCTGTCCGTCTGCCTTCTACACCTGAGATGATTTGGTAGATTCTTCTTAATACCAGGTTAACAATATAAGTTTTGGCTGTAATAATCTCTGCAAGTGCAAGAAAAACATTAGACAGAACCATGAAACACAGGCCTCTGTCTGTGTTCTTTCACATTGATGATTTCTGTTGGGCAGTGATTCTGATGTCATGACAGCTACAGCAAGTTCATCCAGAGGTGAGGCTATATATAGTCAGAGAGCCAGCTAAGAAACTTTTAAATATATCCTCCATCAAAAAAATTCTGGGCAGGTAATTTTAGCAACTCAAATTGTAATTCAAGATTTTACTTTTTCCTTCTTGTATTTTTCCCAAAATTAGATCTGAGATCTGAAAATTACATATTGTGATAATGTTCAGATATCTTTTAGTGATAATGTGTTGAGCCTTTTCAGAAATGCTCCAGATTTATTTGAATTGACTAGTAAGTAGGGAGAAATTATTGACTGTTATTATGTTAATCTCCAACTGAAACTCTCCTCACTCAATTAGCCCCAGTTAGCAAAGTTAAATGTTAAAGTTCATATGGGGATGACAAGAGAGGAAGCTCCTTTCCTGAAAAAAACAACTACACTGTGTCCTGCATTAATGTGAGGTTTGAACACCAAACAACTCCTAACAGTCTAGCTTCATGGTAACGGCTCATGATTTAATCTTGTTCTACAGAAGCAACCAAAGAAAACCATCTGAGGACTGGAACCATGTGATTTTAACCTTTCCCGACCCTTGACCAGAGGTCAGAAAGTCAAACCTAGAATTAAAGCATACCGAATAACATCTACCATATAAGAAAGCTCCTTGATTCCGAAACAAAACAAGCAAATGGCCACTGGAGTCCATTATACTCTACATCATGTTTAAAAAACAAGATAGATATGATCTTACTTTTGTGACGTGATTGGCAATAAGAGTGAAATATCCACCCTAGCAGCTGCCTGAACCACAAATACAAGCAGGACCCATGCTTTCATGGTTTTTACAAACAAATGATGATGTTTTAGCTTACATCAAAATGCAGCAGGCATAGTTCCTCAACCTATTATCAATAAGAAACCTCAGGTTCCTGTTCTTAGCTTACAGGAGTGGAACACATGCTATACCGCACCTGCCTCAAGGTTTGGCATGTTCTCTGGTCAAAGATTCAGTTCAATCCAAAATATCCTATTGAAACAGGAAAATATATATTTTTGCAACTCATATAGGAATTTCCTCAACAAGGTGTTAAAAGTTGTAGGGAGGAAGGATCTCCTGTAGTGGTTGTGTCTCCAGTCCAGCCTGTCTATTATTTAAAATATATATTCTGCATACATTAGTATGCTATAAATAACTTTTTCCCCCCGATCTAATGAAGCCTATTGCCCCCTGAAGGCTTTGACGCCTCGGGGCTTATTCCCATTTCTTCTGCCTGGAGCGGTAACATTTTAAAAAACATTGAGGTAAAGAAGTGGAGAGAAATCCTCTGCCTCATACGGCCGCCATACCAGCACTAGGGGTGTGCAAAATAATCGTGATGATGATGCATCGTGATTCTAATTTTCGTGATCTACTGCATCGATTCTTGATGTCAAGAATCGATTATTAATTTAAAAAAATGAATAAATAAAATTGCATGAATGGTTGGCGAACATCAGCCAAAAACAAGTGCAATACCACTTCCAGTCCAGTAGATGTCGCTGGAAATGTGTTGACGCACGCTGCCTTGTGTCACAAGCATTTCCGGCCGTGGGATACTGTGCCGAGTCATTAAAAAACAAAACATGGAGGAGAAAATATTGCAATGCATCGCAATAATTCAAGTATCGCGATGCATCGTGATAGAATCGCATCGTGGCCTGTGAATCGTGATTCGAATCGAATCGTGACTTCTTTGGCAATACCCACCCCTAACCAGCACACAGCTACTTTTTATCATCTTTTTGATTATGGTGTATGTTTGTGCTGCTGTGTCCACCGGTCACAGCTCAAAGCTCAAAGCTATACAAACATTTTTAGACATTAACAACAAAATTCTGATTTGTTCCTCACTGACCGAGTCAAATACAAACTCCTTAAATGTAACAGCTCAGGCTTCAGTTCGCCTGATCATATAAAGAACCAGTGATAAAAACATTGGTTATTCTAAAATAAAACAGCTGAAAGACACTGCAGAGATTTTGTGAAGCCCACTTTAAAAAGAAAAGGTCATTAACAAAGAAAGAAATACAAGCATCTCTTTATAATGAAGTCAGAGTGTAACAAGTTCACCCAAATAAGGATTGCTATTGATTTTCCTCCCTTTGACATTTCTAGTAAAGACCAGGTCATTTTCTATGTCCTGACAAGTTAAACTTAGATAAGATAAGAGTTTAAAAACTTTTTACAAGACAATAAATCAAGCAACTGCTGAATTTCATTCTCCTCATGCAGTTCAAAGCAGTGAGGAATGCTCTGATCTTTATAATTGGGAAACCAAACAACCTCTCCACAGACACATGGCCCAACATAGAAGAGCGACCTCCTCGGGACAAGACTCTGCTTTACATCTACACCTTATGGACAAAGGACATTATTTTGAGGACCAGAATGATGATATCATGTTAAGAAAGAAAAAAACAACCTTAAACAGAGGAGGTGGACTCACATCTCAGCTTTCAAAAACCTACGATACAGTGATACAATTGTTTCCTTCGCTATCATCGTGGTTTCCACTGCCATGCAGGGGAGCAGAGCACTCCATGTTCAGCAAAACCAACTATTACCTCTAACGACACCACTTCAGACACAAAGACAGGTATCAGTATTGCAGGCTAACAAAGAACCCAATGACTTCCCATTTCCAAGGGGGGGACCCATTCATCCGGTTATATTTGCATGTTTTCTAAGCCAAACCAAGGCTTTATTTTTGGTCCACTCTATGAAGTCTCAAACTCAACGCTATTTCTGATATTTTGCATTGAAAAATCTTTCTGGAAGCGAAACATCTTTAAACTTTGATAAACTTTGATAAGTCCAGTGGATTGCTTTTAACTTTTTTGGAATTCTCTTCAGTGTCTCATTTCTTTCTTTCAGGGAACCCAAAGAAGCTCCTCATTAGGGCTGGGTAAAAAAATCGATTTAATCAATTTTAAATCGATTCCTTTACATTTTTGCAAAATCAATTTCTAGGAAATGAGATTGATTCGTTTTATAGTGACACAAGTGACGTTCACATTCAAATGAGCAGGAAAGATGCACTCCAGATTACTTCAAGCCAGACAGCTGCAAATATAGCCAATAGGTTGACTGAAGACATTAACA